TATATATATATATATATATATATATATATATATATATATATATATATATATATATATATATATATATATATATATATATATATATATATATATATATATATATATATATATATATAAATATATATATATATATATATATATATATATATATATATATATATATATATATATATATATATATATATATATATATATATATATATATATATATATATATATATATATATATATATATATATATATATATATATATATATATATATATATATATATATATATATATATATATATATATATATATATATATATATATATATATATATATATATATATATATATATATATATATATATATATATATATATATATATATATATATATATATATATATATATATATATATATATATATATATATATATATATATATATATATATATATATATATATATATATATATATATATATATATATATATATATATATATATATATATATATATATATATATATATATATATATATATATATATATATATATATATATATATATATATATATATATATATATATATATATATATATATATATATATATATATATATATATATATATATTATATTATATTATATTAAATAACAATTTATGAATAATATATATTAATTTATTATCTATGAGCGGAACCACGGTCTTGGCCACTCGAAGGTTGATTCTGGGCGGCATGTGGCCCGCGGGCCACCAATTGAATAGCCCTGGTGTATATGCTTAATAAAAATACACAGCACAGACGCATATATAATAGTAAAACAATTGTTTATTTTGGATGCAATAGAGGGAACATAAAAAAAGATGTATTCATCTCTGAAGGGCAAAAAGTCTTGTCGTAGCATTTGAATGCTGCAGCTCTCTGATGAAGTGCTTCCTTTATCCTCACTCTCGTCCGCTGTGGATAAAAGCACCTGCTAAACGAGTAAATGTAATGTAATGTTATTGAATACATGAGAGTTTAAAAGTGTGTGTTTGTAAAAGAGCCCTGAATGTTCTTCAGAAGTGGACTGTCTGTCTCTGCAGAGTCGGTCAGTCTTACATGTTTGAAAGCACATAAACAATGGCAGCTTTTTTACATTTTGCCTTCAGTATGGGGCTCGTTCATAGCTGAATGTTTCTGCCAGCTCTTTAACGCAGAGTTTTAGTCATCATGAAGTCTTCCTGAGCTTGTTTTCTCTTCAGTTTCTGTTGTTTTCTTGTAATGAAATGAACGCTGGCGACTCTCAGTGTCCGTCTTTGGCTGTGATTTGTGTATGTGGGCGGAGTCATGCCTTAGAAGCCCTCATTACCGTGCCGACGAGGAAAAGTAAACAATTACACTAATCTCCCGCCACATCTGTGTCCAATCACAGGCAGCCAATCGGCATGCAGCGGTTTTGGCTTGAGAGATTCTGACGGGTCACTTACAGAAATCATGAGGACTGTGTGTGTGTGTGTGTGTGTGTGTGTGTGTGTGTGTGTGTGTGTGTGTGTGTGTGTGTGTGTGTGTGTGTGTGTGTAACTTGTATTATGCATGGTGTTTTATTCCTTTCGACCAAATGTCCCCACTAGAATAGCAATACCAGTACATTTTGACCTTGTGGGGACATTTTTTGGTCTTCATGAAAGTAAATCACTCAGAATGAAGTATTTTGTAAAACTGCAGATCGTGTCTGTGTGAGGGTTGGTTTAGGGGGAGATGGAGAGAATATACAGTCTGTACAGTAGAAACATCATTACAGCTGTGAGAAGTCCTCATACAGATGTACAAGAGTGTGTGTGTGCTTGTGTGCGTTTTTATGCATGTTTGTGTATGTTTATGTGCTTGTGTGTGCATTTGTGTGTTTGTGTGTGTGTGTGCTTGTCTGTGCTTGTGCGTTTGTGCTTATTTTTTCATTTTTGTGTGTTTGTTTGCATTTGTGTGTGTGTGTGTGTGCTTGTGCATTTGTGTGTATTTGTGTGTGTGTTGTATGCGTTTGTGTGTGTGTACATTTGTGTGTATGTGTGTGTGTGTTTGCTTGTGTGTGTGCTTGTGCATGTGTATGTGTGCTTGTCTGTGCTTGTGCATATTTTTGTGTTTACATGCATATGCATTTGTGTGTGCATTTGTATGCGTGTGTGTGCGTTTATTCATGTGT